TGGGGATGAAGGTGAAGGCAATGCTAAACGTATGAGTTGGGATGAAGATGAAGGCGATGCTAAAGGAAAGGCTGGGGATGAAGATGAAGGCGATGATAAAAATGAACATAGTGTTGGAAGTTATCTTTTTGGTCCAGATTTTGATGAGTTTTTGTCAGGTATACTCAAAATGTAATAATAATATATCACATGTTCTGAATTATCCCTTAAAATTTCTATATATAGAAATGGAGCATTTACCTTTTGATATTCAAAAAGTGTTCATAAAGAAAATCATTAACCATTCAATATTTTTTACTCACCTATGTAACATAAATAAAATAAAGCATGGGTATAAAATTTTGTACATTAATTTTACGTGTGCCCGAAGGAACAAAAAAAGGAGTTCCCTAAAATATCGACCACCGATAATTTTCATTCTGAACACAGTGCTTAAATGAACAGCTTTTGAGAAAGGATTTCTTCCTTTCTGATTGTTCTAAAATGTGCATAAGTATTTTTTCCCCATTGTATATGATTCTACATTAAGAAATTTTGTTTTTCTAATGTTTTTAAAAATTAACATGTATAATAATAAAACATAGAAATTCTTTTATTAAGTCAGTCTATTCACACAAATTTTACGAAATAGTCCCGCGTGTTAATGTTAGAAAAAAACGTGCCAATTGGCATAAGATGTACATTATTTATCGTTCCCTTCAGCGTGGCATTAATTTTATCCTAATTATAGGCACAGTTATGTGTGGTAAAATTATTGTATCTAGAACTCATTTAGAGAAAAGCTAAAGAATGGTCAAATTATTTAAGTTTTGCATTTAATTAGGAAGGGAAAATTATGAAATTTTTCTTCCTTTTAAGAAAATATTTTATTTGATTGAAAAAGAGTGTATTTTTTTTTTTTTTTTTTTCCTTGTGCTACATGGGAGGGTTTATACGCCTTCGATGTGGTGGGTAACTTGCGAATGTTGCAAATTAATTCTCATTCTCTTCTAGCGCAATGTATGGTTGTACGCGCAAATGTAAGGTGCTAAAATTCCGTCGAATTCTGTACGTATATACAAATAAACATTTAAGAATCTGTTCTTAATAAACAAATCGGCACTTTAACTTCCTCCTCACGTGATGCTCAAATGGAGCATTTAGGTAAAATCCAGTTTTTATAAATTGTAAGGTGCGCGCGAAGCTGCAAAATGATAACTGCCCACTGGTACATTTTTAAATTTTATGGAAAAAGGAAAATTATTTTAAAATAACCCCCACGACGGAGATCTCTGTGATCATTAATTTCTCTCTTTTTTGTTTCCCCTTTTTGCTGTTAATTTTTTTGTAATACACGTATATATATTGAAGATGAATGACGTATCTTTGGAAGGGATACTTTCGAATTGCAGTTTAAGCCTTACCCCCCTGTTGGGAGCAAAAACAGGAAAATTGGGGACAAATAAAAGGCGAAATTGTTTTATTTAATTATCTATAAAATGTGGAAGAAAGTGGCGTAATTTTTTTTTTTTTACAAAAGGATAAATGCGTTACGCTCAACTGATTTGGTATAGGAAGAATTTTTTTTTTTTTCTTAATTACTTCTCTACTGTATTTTGTCCTTTTAAGGTGTACTTACACATCGGGGTAAAACGATATTATTTTAAAAACGTGAAGTAGATCAAACTTGGCGTTTTGTACTTATTCTTTGGTGTGCATTCGATTTCATTTCAATATATTTCACATTTTGTAGGAATTAAGCAGATAATGTGGTGTAATGTGATGTTCTTTTTTTTTTCCCATTTTTGTTATATGCAACAAAGTTATTTTCTTCGAAGCGTATGTTATTTGTCTGTCCACAAAAAAATACAGCCATGGGTTTTCTTATTAAAAGTTAAAAGAATTATTTCCGCTTAAATAGATAAGCATGACTGCACATATTAAAAAATATGAAGTGCCAAATTAAGGAAAATTTAAACATTTTTAAAGAATAAAATTCATGTTCTACATATGCCCATCAGCAATGATATGATCAAATTAACAGTTGTCAAATTTTTTCCAGCATTTAGATCAGCGAATTGTGTTGCGCCATCTTAAACATCTTGAATTAATATATAATTAATTGTTTTGGATTAGTTCCTTTCGTTTGTCCACTTGTTTCCAGTCTTTGCTCGGTATTTGCTACTGAAGGGAGTTATCTGTAAGTCATTTTTTTTTCCTCTCGAGAGTTGAAGTTATTCATGTCATGTGTAAAATGTATATCTGTGTAGACGAAAAATTTTCGGAATTTTTGACGAAGTGGACATAAATTTTATTTAAAGATACTATCCTCTTGTGATTATTTGCCGTATTAACTATACTTTTTTTCTTTTCCTCTTAGTCATCCCAATTTTTGACGACACACACACGTCTTTGTTGTGGAAACCATTGGATACATAATTTGATTAACGCCTTGTTAAGTTTGTAACATTTTTGCTTACAAAGTAGAACTCATTTTTTTATTTTTCCTTCTTCAAATAACTGGCAAATTAGCTTACATTTTATCATATACGGATAAGGAAGCCTGTTTAGGGAGTTCCCTCCACGATTTGACAAAACAGTTTGATAAGACTGTTTCGTGTAGCTTTTTGTTTCATTTTATGTGTAACTCCTTTTGCACTGTTTTATTTTGTAGGTGAACCCTTTACACAATTTGTCCTCATTGCAGTGCAATTCTTGGTTCAACTTTTAAGTGTTAGCAGAATGAATTATTTAATCCCCCTGCTGTGGTGCATAATCTTGAGTTGCCTTTCAAGAGGACAAGAATCCGCGACAAATTTCTACAAGTTTGTAGACTCCTCCGCGTCGTCCACGTACATTTCAGAGGAATCTGGGAGTTCGCTTTATGATGCGAAAAGGGCTATACAGAACAACCCCAGTTACTGGTGCAGTTCAGGGAATCACACAAAGGATGAAGAAATCAGCTGGACTGGTCATTTAAATACAAAGGGGTTCATAAAAGGAGTGAAAATATCGTGGGAATACAGCCCAGAATTAGTAAGCATATCTGTGTCTAGTGATGGGGAAAATTATAAGAATGTTATTCCTTATCGGAGGATTTCTGGAAATGAAGCCTCTTTTGATGAAATCTACTTTTTTAAAAAATTAGAAGAAGTGGTATCGGTAAAAATTGGATTAAAAAATGCTATTCACAAATATTTCGGAATAAGGGAAGTGAAGATTATAGGAGGAGGGAATCCATACTTTCTGCTATTGTCAGGAATTACAAGTGATAATGAAATGTGTTTACAAGTGGAGGAAGGATTAGTAAATAATGACAATACTTCGGTTATATTAGATTCATGTATAAATGCCTTAGCAAGTGGGGACGGCAGAGAATTGTGGAAGATAAATTCTAACAACCAAATAATTAGTGCCTTTAGTGAGCCTCCCAAATGTTTATCTCTTATTAATTTGGACAATTTAGAAAAGAATAAAATTGTTTTATATGACTGTTTACGAGCTTTGGAAGATGGAGATGGAAAATCTAATTGGATATTTGAATCTAATTCACAAATTCGATTGCAAAAAAGTGGTGAGCCTTTATGCATTTCTCAGAAAAATATATACGGAAATGTGCCTGGAATTCATGATATTCTTCTCAACATGGATGTTACGGTTGATGCTAATTCGACATTGGATGATGATCATAATGCGGACAGTACGGTAGATGGAAACTTGAATAGCTACTGGGCTTCGGCCACATTTGCAGATAATTACGAGCACGTGGTTTATCTCATCCTAGATTTAAACAAATACGTAGAAATATCCAGAGTAAAAGTCTCTTGGGAATACCCCCCTTTGCATTATAGCATAAGTTCCAGTATAGACAACCAGGAATATAAAGTCCTTGCTGAGAATTTAGCGAACCCTAGCTTTGTAACAATAGATACTTTGAAAAACGTAGAAACGAGGTATATCAAGATATCAATGATGAAGCCTCATCCGAAGCATGGAGAAATGGGGGATCAATTTTTGTATGGAATTAGGTCCATAGAAGTTCAGGCCAACAATTTAGAAACTATTATAGGCTATTGCAGAGATGCAGCTAATTCAGATGACGCTAGAGATAAATACTTTGTTGAATATATAACGGAATTTGACCAAGACTTAACTAACAAACTGATTAACCTCGAAGATGATGTGTCGAAAAATGTAAACTCTATTAGTGATAATTTATCAAAACTGGAAGAACTGTTACCAAATATTGAAACATGCGTTGAGGAAAAGAAAGAGTATGATGATGAACTGAAAGATTCCAAGGAAAAAGCAAATGAATTGAATGAAAAGTTATCCTCCCTAGTGTCAGTAAATTCAATTCATGATAACGATTTGCTACGATTAGGTATGCTTCCGGGTGATTCGTCTTCCTACCCAGCTAGTGATTGTTCTGTAATTAAAAATGTTCAAGAGATTCCCCAATCAGGATTTTACTGGATAAAGCCAAAGTGTTCCCCTGAACCGTTGAGAGTATATTGCGACATGGTGTCTAGTACATCCCTGTACGTATGGAATGGTAATCCTCCTAAACATCGCGATCATTTAATTAGCAGTATTATAAATTCGGTGGATGATATAAGACAACACTGTGCTGAAGTAGGGTTAGAGCCGCTAATTCTAAGATCGAAAAGCCAATTAAATAGCTTAATTTTGTCGTTAAAAAGAATGGGATACACACTGAATGGGAAAAACAACATTCCTCTTGCTTATGACTATTCTTGTGATCATGGTAGTTGCAGCGGAAAGTTTCACGATTTGGTAAACGGAAACATAGATTTAACGACGCTAATTTATTTAAAAGCATCTGAATCTCCGGACAGCACAAAAGTGAGACAAACTGCTGGAATATCCTACGATGATGGATCTTTCAAATTTTTTAATTTAGAAACATCTGATATATCTGCTATAGTTTGCTCTACTAATTCGACGGAGAACGATGCTGCGTTGCAATACTTGAACATAAATTGTGAAACAACGGCACTTGAGGATTATTTCAACTCAATCGTGAATACTAATGTGGTTGTTCTCTGTCCTTTAGGGTGTGCCAGTGAAAATTTTAAAAACAATGCGGTGTATGGAAGTAAGGGAATATATGCAGATAACAGCTCCATTTGCAGAGCCGCAATACACGCTGGGGTAGTGGACAATAAGGGAGGCCTAGTCAATGTTACCATCGAATCTGGAATGGATCGCTACGAAGGTTCCATTAGTAATAATGTAGAATCTATTTCTTTAAATAAAGACCCAGCAGGGGGGCTATTAGATATAATCACTAAAGATAAGGAAGAAAATATTAAGGAAGAGAGTAGCATTTTTCACCACAGGACGATACGCATTGGTAATTTATCTGCCGACTGTCCTATGGATTTGTTTCAATATAAGCAGACGTCCTTTCTTCAAAAGGGAGACACAACGAAGGGGAGGAAAGAAATGCCATACATTGAAGACGAAAGTAGAGATAGTATCATTTTTCACGAGTTAATTACCGATCTGTTAAGCAACATTGATGCTATTCATGGAGTTGACCCCTCAGTAATTTCCATCGTCCAAGATGAGACAGTAAGGGTGATAGAGAAGTCGAAGAAGCAACTAAAACCAGCTGATTTGTTATCCAAGAAACAAATTGACGATGCTATCAATTTGTACAATATCACAGAAAATTTAGCATTATACCTATACGATTTGTCAGGAAAATACATGTACGACTTGGAAAGCTTGAAGGAACGTTTGGAGGAATTAAAAAAAGAACAGAAAGTTGCTCTTAACTTTGGTACCTTCAAATTGAACTATGAGACTATGAATTTTTCTTCGCACTTCCAAACTTTTGATTCAAAATTAACAAAGAATGTGTCCAGCATTTGGGGGTATGCGGATACGGATATAGCAGGACACAAAAATAGTATTGGGCAAACGAGCAGCATCTCAAACAGAGAAATAGGGGAAGGATATTATGCCAAATTGAAAGGATTAAATTTTTATGACTTTGAAATAAACGTAAGTATTATGAGCAGGGGAACTGGATGCTCAGGTATTGTCTTTAGAGCCAAAGACGATTTTAATTTTTACCTATTTGATGTGTGTGATAGGGAAGGAATGAAAAGATTGTCTAAGGTAGAAAATGGGAATGCGGAAATTTTGAAAGAAAATTTAACAGAAGTTAATACAAATAATAAGTGGAATAAGTACAGAATTGTGACCAGTCATGCGAATATTGATATTTACGAGGTTGATGAGAATTCAAATGAGACTAACATTTTGCGGTCTCTAGATGAAAGGTTCCTCTATGGCACGGTCGGTTTGTATTCGCAAATTCATGGACAGGGTTCCTTCTTCGATAATTTAGAGGTCATAGCTCGACCATGTTCGGAATTGTCCAAAGGGGGGGCGAACAAAAAGCAGAGGGAAATTTCCAGCTGCCCCTACTACAGGGAGAACTACTTAAGCAAAACATTGCCGTATAGCTTTATTAATGATGTGGATTATAAATGGAGTTTTGCAACGGGGGGCGACCAAGACGACCACCAACATGATCACCAAGATGGTCACCAAGATGATCAAGAAGATGATCACCACCTTGACGGCAACTACAGTGAGCACCTGCTATGCTCAAAAATGGTAAAAGTCAGCACCGCGACCAGTGAACACACCTACAACAGCATAGCACTTTTAAAACAGAGAAATTGCTCTGACGGATACTTTACCCTGGACGTAAATTTCTCCAATGATGAGAGTAACGAAAGTGACAATGATGAGTTCGTAAAAATTCTTTTCAACTTTGTAAACGAGGAAAACTACAATGCGTTAGAGATGACAAAGGATGGCGTCAGGATAGTAACACACGGAAATGGCAAATCAGTAACATTGTCCGAATTGACCGATAGAGAAAGAATTAAAAAGGTGTTGACCCCAAATGAGTGGATTAATATAAAATTACGCTTCCACAAATCAAAGGTCACGGCTGTCATAAATAATCACGAAGAAGAATTACAAGTGGACACAGATATTGCTGATGTAGATAGGATTCGTTCAGGACAAGTTGGTTTCTGGGTACACAATTTTAGTGAGGTAAAATTTGCTTCCATCGTTCTTTCATCTGCTACGTCAAATAATGATGGAAATTTTATTCAAACAAAATCCAAGGCATGGGGAACTTGTGAAGATTCTGTACACGTATTAAATAGAAGGTCTTCATGTCAAACGGATATATTCCCAAATGAGACAAAAGAGAAACATATTAATTGTATTAAAAATTTCTGTGAAGAATGCTGTTTATATCATACACAAATGCTAGATAGTAATGAGAAAAAGGAATGCGAAAAACACTGTAAAAAAAATGACCACTTAGCAGCTAAGATGCAAACAATGTTTGAAAAATTTTTAAATAAATGTGTTTCGTTGGAGGAAAATAAGGACTACAAACAGTGTGCAAAAAATGATACTGAATGTAGAAATAAAGTTTGCGTACTTTGCTGCAAAAGGAACGATCCGGAAAGCTCTAAGGCGTTGAAGGGATTATCTCTGCAGAAGTCAAAGGATATACAGCAAAAGGAAGTAATCGAGTGTCAATTTCAGTGCAACAGGGCCCATGCGTGAGATGCAGAAGTGCTAAAGTAGTGCGCGCATGGGTAGGGTTCAGCAGGGCAAATAATAGGAGAAGAAGTTGCAAAGTGGAGTAAAATTCATTTTTGTTTGAACGCAGTTTGTCACGTTTTCATTGTTACGTGTTGTTTCTGTTTGTTTTGTCATTTCTTTTTTCTTTTCTTTTTTTTTTTTTTTGTCACAAAACATGAATTATGTGACTAATTTTTTTTTTCTTTTGATGAAGCAAAGCGAGCGTGCGAAAGGAAAAAAAAAAAAATTCATGATTACATGATATACATTTTTATACACTCAATAATGACGATGTTGCACCCGCTTTGGATCTTCGTCGCGCCTGTGTGGATAAAAGCAAAAATGTATACACATTTGCATAATTAACAAATTAAGCGAGGAAAAATGCCATTATTTTTTGCCCCTTTATCGGTTTCTCCCGTATGCTTACTTGGGTACTTTTGCATTTCTTCTTATTACGAAGAAATGTGCAGTGACTTCTTCATTAGGCACAGTTTCCCAGTTTTAATTTGTTCATATGTTTTATTGTTACGAAGCACTGGGAAAGATATACAAGTTAACTGACTAGGCACAACAGGCACATTTCATCGCGCAAGCCAAGCCGCTAAAGCGTTTCTCTTTACATCCAGTTCGTGTTACATTCTTTTCGTCGTAAGGTGAGGAAGGGGGAAAATTGCTACGAAAAAATTGCTACGAACAAATTGCTACGAAAAAATTGCTACGAACAAATTGCTACGAAAAAATTGCTACGGAGAAAATCATACGAAAAAATTCCTACGAACAAATTTCTACGAAAAAATTGCTACGGAGAAAATCCTACGAAAAAATTCCTACGAAAAAATCCCTACGAAAAAATTGCTACCAAGAAATTGCTACCAAAAAGTTGCTACCCAAAGCACATTCTAAGTAACAATTTAGCGGCGAAGAAATAGCAAAAGCGTTAACCCGTTTGGACACTAAGTAAGTTGCCTCCAATTTGTGTTTTTCTTTAGTGGGAATTTTCCTGTACAGGCATTTTCTCCTGTATTCTAAAACGTCATTTTTTGACAATAAATTGGGGCTCCTTTGTTCAGTTATGCCCCCGTTAAAAGGTTTGTAGCCCCTTTAAAAACACTGCATCGTTGTGTTGCTATGCCACTGCGTCATTACATTCACAAGCTGTAGCTTAAAAATGGGCATGACACTGCTTCGTAATCACGCAACATAGTAAGTAACATGCAGCCACGGAGGCAATTTATTAATAATCTAACTTAAAACATTTCGTTTTTTTTCTTTTTCTTTTTGTGATGGTTTATCACGTCATTTTTAAAACAATGGGCATCTTAATACAAACGCGATGCGCGGTGCATGATGCGGGGGTTCACACTGTCCTTGTATATATACGTCGTGCATATCTACACAAACATTATATGGAAAGGGGTAGAAACATATATATATACTAAGAGACAGACAGATTGACAGACAAATAGGCAGATTGACAGACAAATAGACAGATTGACAGACAAATAGACAGATTGACAGACAAATAGACAGATTGACAGAGAGACAGACACACAGACAGAGGGAAGGCCCTTCGGGGAAAAACATTCTTCCCTCTGAAGAAGGCTACGCTGTGCTACTCCGTTACGACATAGCCTTCTTTTGTGGCATCTTTTTTAAACAACTTTTTAATTTTATTTTTCACAATTCTATAAATCTGTTTCCTCCTTATGAATTTCTTGTTATATGAATTATACGTATCTAAAAAGTTCCTCATGTCCAAATTGTCAATGTCCGATGATTCACTCGAAACTTGGTCACTGCTATAGTTCGAATTGTCCTTAAAATGTGGGTCATTGTACATCAAATAAGAGTTATCAGGAGGTTTAGCCCTATTTTCCCTTTTCTCAAAGGTACTACCTGTAGGTATTTTATTTTTCGTTTGGGAGGAATGGTCCTTATTATTACTGTGCAAGTGAGAACTGCTAGCATGTTGAACGTTTTCAGTAACGGGATTCTCTTGCCCACTTCCCATTTCGAAGTGTGAAGTATCTTCCGTTTTATTTTCACTAGCTTGGACGCACTTGTTTGTATTTGTAGCTGACTGTTTGGTCTTTTCACTTTCACTGTGTTGGCCTAGGGCACTGCTTCTCTGGCCTTTATTCTTCTCACTTGACAAGTACGACTTTATCTGCTCACAAAGGTGAGATTTGTTCTCTTCGTTAAACATTATGTTTAACAGATTATTATCCAATGTCAGGACATTTTTTATATGATATCTACCAACTCCGAGGAGGTAGTTTTTATTGTAGGAGATTTGTTGGTTAATTTCGCCAAAATCTGCTACATCTAAACCGAAAACTCTCACGTCATTGAAGGAAGCATAATATAAATTTTTCGAATCTGCATTATCTAGAATGTTGTGAATATTTGGGAATATATTAATGAATGTAGGAAGATTTGATTCTCCGATAAATTTTTTTACACTTTCTTTGTAGTTTAGCAGTTTTATCGTTAATTCTTTTTTTTCAGTGTTGTATGTTACGAAATCGTTTTCTGGTTCGTTTTTCTTATCTGGGGGTTTTACTTCCTCTGCAGAATCGTCATTTAATGTTTCCGCGGGGGGGTTATCGTGGCATTCATCCCTTTCTACACTAGCATTGTTTAATTCTTCTGCGTTGTTATTCTTGTTACTGTCGGGCTCAGAGGGGGGGGACTTGCAATCCGCAGATCTGGCTTCTCTTTCAATGCTTGTGTCACTCCTAGTATCAGTGTTGTTTTGAGCATTACTTTGCGAAGTGGGTCCCGTGTAATTATCTTGTTCCTCTGCATTTGATAGTTTCCTCTTTTTAGTCTTTACAATTGCACTTTCGTTTACATCGCTTACGTTGGCTATGTCGATTATGTCTCTTTTTGTGGTGTTTGGGGGTAGCTGGGAGTAATTTCCACTACTGCATGCTGGGGAATATATTTTATTCTTTTCTTTTGACGAAATGGGTTCTCCAAGAAATATTTTCCGTAACGATTTGCTCATATTTACATAGTTACATAGGGGGGCGTCGCTGTTCTTGTTATCTGACAGTACTCTAATCAACCTGTGAAAAATATACTTCGATATATTATTACTATCTTCAATGGTATCTAGGATTGTGGAGAAGTTTTCTTGCTCTAGCATGTTCTCTAAACTTGCATATGCATCATTATTATACCCATGCATGTCATTTAGGGCGATAGCGTTAACTGATCCATAGGCGTCGTCATCAAAATGGTTGTTACCTTGCATGTGCAGATTTGTCTTTGCTAAATTTTTAATGTTACTTTTCTTTTTTTTATTAACATTCGCGGGTTGGTTCATATCTGCGTGTTCGTTTTTAAAACTTATGCTTCTTTTGCTTGGTCTGCCTACTTTTCCTTTTTTTTTTGGCCTGAGATTTTTTTTAATTTCCTTAACAGGTGTTTTTTTGTCCTCATTTATGTTCGGGTCATATAGCGTATTATTTAACACATCCTTATCCTCACTGTGATATAGCAGATGGATATTTAAGTACTTCCTATATATTTTTGGGGTAATCTTTTTATAGTAATTTTCTACATTTTCTGCGATCTTGTGGTAGATGGTACTTTTGTCGTTGTATGTGTAACAGTTATTGATAATTAAGAAGAAGTCCTTTTCAAATTCTTGAAAGCCTCTATATTTATAATTCTGGATTTTATGTTTCATGGTGGTAAAGTCCATTGGTTCTTTTATTATGTTCAAATAATCTGGAACAAGCTGCACATTGACGGGATAGAGAAATACCCTTTTCTTATCGAACGAGATTAGCTTATTTAGCAAGTTCATCAGCACTTCATTTTTCCTCCTTAGTTCCTCCAGCTCGTCGTATTTAATTTTGTTTAAACTCATTTTGAACGCTGTTTTATTGGGGATGCGGGGATTATTGATGTTCGCGAGCAAATGTGTGGAGCATTGCTGAGGGTACAATTTTGTGGCTTACACGTACCTACCTATGTGCAATTGCATATGTATACGTGTTGGTGTAACCCCCCCCCTTCAGCTGACGCAGTTGTCCGATTTGATGGCATATTTTTTACTGTGAAAACGGTTTTAAGATTACAAATGATGAAGGGCTACCATGCCACACATACCAGTTATAATTACATATCAGGAAAAGGGAAAATGATGAAATGTATGAGTTTCCCTCTTCTGTCATTATATCATATATTTTAAACAGTTCATTGATAACGTTACTTTTTAAGCATTCACTTCATCACTGTTAATGGTCGAAGTTGATGAAGCGTCATGTTATACAATTGGACGAAAAAGGAGAAATGAAAAAAAAGAAAAAAAAAAGAAAAAAAAAAGAAAAAAAAAAAGAAAAAACAAATTGATGATTAAATCATATTACAAAAAAAAAAAAAAAAAAACGATAGAGAAATTGCACAAACTTGGTATAATGTTTAGCAAATCATATGCTTTTCAACATTTGCGGAGAATATCTTTCATGTTTTCCCTAAGGGATACCCTCCATTAGTTTTTTTTTAATGGAAAATTTCTTCGAATGAATGTATGTAAAAATATATATATACGCAAATACGCTTGTTTGTATTTTTACTTTATATCTTTTACATGGGTAATTATTTATTGTTCCAACAATTGGAAGCGAACAAATTGTATTTGCATTCATGTATAAATAAACGTATGAAATATGAAAAATGGGAAAAAAACTCATTTAAAGGTTTAATATGTAACAATGCCACTGGTATGATCCATTTTTTAAAAAGGAATGGAAAAATACAGAAGATAGCAAATCTAAAAAAAAAAAAAAAGAACTTAATTATTTTTAATATGAAAAGAAAAAAAATGTTTAGTTGGTTTACGAGGTTGTAAAAAGTGGCGATGAATTTTTTTGATCAAACTTTTTACAAAGAAAAGAAAAAAAGATTTTTCCCACGTGCCCTTTTGAACATAGCATCAATTTTGTTAGTTAATTTTACTTATTTTTTCTTCTCCATTTTTGTGATTTTTTGTGACATTTTTATGTAAACGTTTTCTGCATATCTTTGATTGAAAAAATAAACGATATTTAGCTTTTTCATCAGAAGTCTGATTATGCTTAAAGTTACGCGAAGGAAAGAAGCGTGTTTTGCAAGTCAAGGATGATGAAAGATATGTGTAGGACATGCACGCGTACGTAACGCCGTTTCAAGAGTTTGCCTTTTCCCCTTGACTATGGCGTATTTGGGCCCCTTTTATAATTGTATGTATAAATAACTTCTATACGTTTATAATTAAAAAAAACAGAAATAAACTCCGTCAGGGCAAAATAATTTTCACAAGTTCTGCAAAAGACAATTTTCCCGTTAAACGTTTACAGAGGTGGAAATATGAAATATAGGGGAAAATAAAAAAAGGAGGTGTGGAGTTAAGGGCACCCTTAAAATTTTTTAACTGGTTAATAAATAAGATAAACTGACATGGAACATGCGTTTTCCAAGGGTCTATCCATTTTTTTATTATCTCCATTAATACCATTAAAAGTCTTGTTTCCTTCTGCTGAGCTAATGTACTCCCGAAATGGATAGTACTAATTCCGTGTGAATGTGAAAACTGTCATGTTATTTTTTATTTGTTTCGGTTATTGAATTATCACACTTAACACATGATAGGAGAAATTATTCTCGTTAATCTTACCATTTTGTGGGGTCGTCTGTGCAAAGCGCATCAAATGCATGGAATGGGTACTGTTGTACAAGGTATACGTAATTATAAAAGAACAATTTAAATGCATAGAACTATTTTATGGCAAGCAAAATTTTCCTTGGACGAGATGTACATAAATAAGCACCAGCATAGCATCATTTTTTATCACCCCGAATGGTGAATTTGACATCTCGCTTTTCGATGATGTATTGTCAAATAATTTGCGAGAAATGTTTTCACGGATGTGACTTAAATTTTAATGACATTTCGATAGGGTAAAAATGAAAGCGTGCGCGCGTGCGCCAGTTCGATAACGTGAAACGCGCCACTCCTTAAATTCGTAAAATAATCCCTTCATATGAACGCGTAACATGTGTATCGTTTTGCATTCAATCGCCACGTGGCGTCTGTAACGGATCAGCTAAAATGCGGCAAAATTGGTTAGTGCCATCTTGAAAACGTATGCCCAATTTAAAGGAAAGAGCGCGGGGAGGGGGGCTAACAGGAATTACATATGTTGCCTCTCGTATGAAAATGTTTAGAATCGTGCGCGCCATATAGATATATTAAAACGCGTCATATAGATATATTAAAAGGGGATATTAAAGGTACGGCACACAGATGTGCCGTTCTTATTTGATTACTTCATTCTGTTCATAAATTATGGAACATATGAAATTTTATAATAGGGTGTATGTGCCCAATTATGCCTATATATGTATACGATTTAGGCCCCAATTCGTGGGTTTATTTTAGAATCCTGCTATTTTTCATTCATTCGGTTTAAAGAGTTCACAATGAACGCACTAAAAATGGTTTTTTTTGCATTTTTATTTTTCTCTTTTGAGACTGAAAAAAAGAGGGAAAGCCTCAGAAGGAGGCATGCTTCTTCTACCACCCATCGCTTCTTATGCATTGATAACATTTAAGCAATTGGTTCTATGGGTATATAGAGGAGCATTTTCCCCCTTTGTGTTCCACCTAATTTAAACAGTTTTTTAAAAAAGCCATTCTTTCGCAATGCATCGAAACGGCCGTCTATTTATTTTTTTTGCGTGAATGACACCACCTCAGTTTTGTTACTTGTATGTCGCAAGAATACATGTGTCTCAAAAAAGGTGAATGTCTGCCTTGTAAAATAACGTTAAGCAGATATGAAGTGAATTCTATTTTATGAGTAAATTTCTCCTTTACGGATTAAGCAATGGGAAATGATAATTGTACAGTTTTTTTTTTTTGTGATTCGCATTTAGCATTTCAGTCATTTTCCATCAAATGAAGACTAGGTTCTTAGGGAAAATGATGTGTTCCTTTTGATATAACAAATTCGTTGTGCTCGTTGGGATCATTTTTAGGTAATCCCAGATAGGCAGGAGAATTTACCATCATTCTTTATGAATTCTTTTTCTTTATCCCTTGTTGAGGTGAAATGAAGCTCAAAGGAGAGGTAAATTATTTTTACGAAAAGTTGCATTCACTTTTTATTGTAAATTCGTTGTGGTGTCTCTATAGAGTCACGATTCTTTTTGCAAAAAAAAGAAACCAACAAAAACGAACAAAAATGAACAAAAGAGACAAATACGACAAAAACGAACAAAAACGGACAGTGCTTTCACAAATATATGCAATGATAACATGAAGAGGAGTGGAAGTACCTTACCATTAAGCGTTACGCTGTGTCTTTGTAGAGGGGAAAAGAGACCATTTCTGGCAACTAAAGTGGGAGGAAAAAATAAATACGAATGACATTTAACGGTTAATCAGAGGGAAGACCTTTTCTTATGCCTGTCTAGTTCTCGTTAAAACTGAAAATCTTGAAAAAGGGAGAAACTATTAATTAATTAGTGACCGTGTGAAAATACTACAAAATGGCTTTAAAGAAAGAAAGGCACGACGTTATGTGGCAGTAAAAGTGGCGAACGCGTTGCAGTGTTGTATGTGGGTTAAGCCCTGGTGTTTCAACACAACCCATTTCGATTACATAAAAAAAAAAAAAAAGGATTTCCTTTAACATACATATATATAGAGTTATTTTCGAATTTTTCCAAAATGTGTATTAACGGAGAGGATCTGATTAATTAATTTATGTGTAATAGCCTTTTTTGAAGAGAGAATTGTTCGTTTACATGCGTAATCTTCGCTTCTGCGGGAGGAGTTTTTTCCGCAAAAGGAAAGACGTTCCAAGTGAACATTCCTACTACAAGGATTATAACACCTTGTATTATGAAGAAGTGCTCACTACATGTTAGCGCTGAAAATTATGGGGTAATAACTGCTCCCATAAATGACCTATTAAAAAAGGTATCACCGATTCAGTATAAATGGTCGCGGAACATAACTCCCGAAATGTGCTAATTAAAAACTTATGCGTGTTTTTAACATACAGCTGATGTGGGCAAAATGGATTTTTCAATAATCAATGGAAGACACGCGTATCCATATAGTTAGTGTCCAACAAAACGAATGTTTCGATTTGATGCTTAAAAGAAAGGGGCGCCACTTTATGGGCCAAAATTTATGGTTTGGATAGACCCATTTTGGATATGATACGAATAGCATAACGATTAACATTTAAAATTTAGTAATAAGAAGTAAAGAAAAAAACAGGCCTCATGAAGCACCAATTTTACTTTTGGTTTTTCCGTGGCATACAAAGGGAAAGAAAAATGCCTAAAACGGAATGAAGTCACAAAAGACTAAGAACAAAGGAAGAACATAACAAAAAACAGAAGATATTTTTGAATTGTAAAGCCCGCTAAAGCGTGAAGCGCACAGAGAAAAAGTTAAAACACTTCAGGTTGTGAGATAAGGGGTGCAGGGACATCTTACGTTAATCACAAAATGTCAGTAATTTGTACTATTTAGTGGCCCGAGAGAAACATAATTGAGTTAATGCCCAAGCGTATTCTACATCCGATAACGCTGTTTTTAAGTGTTTATACCTGTAAGTATGTAAAAGTTTTGCAGACATACCTGATTTTATAAACCCCAAATTGAAGGAAAAAACTGTACGTGCCACATAATTATGTTTCTGCATCATTTTTTATGCTCTTTTTACAAATTTTTGAAAAGTAAAAAATTTTATTGTGTATAATAATTAGTGGCAATTAAGCAAAGGCGACTTTTCCAGTTTTGTGAAATATGCTTTTTATCAGAACAATTCATTGACGTGTTCGTTACATGTTCATGAAGTATAAATATACTTAAAAAT